GAGAGAGAGAGAGGACGAGAGAGAAGAGTGAGAGAGACAAGAGAGAGACAGAGACAGGAGAGAGAAGAGAGATGAGAGGAGAGAAATCAGGAAACGAGAGAAGAGTAAGCAGAGAGAGGGAGAAGGAGAAGTGGAGAGAGAGGGGGTGAGGAAAGAGGCCAGAAAAAGGGGACGGTAGAGGGTGAGAACAAGATGGAGAGACGGGGGGAGTAGTGAAAAAAAAGAGACGGGAGAGAGAAGGGGAAGAGAGAGAAAAGAGAGAGGAGAGAGAGAGAGGAGAGAGAGACTGGACGAGAGAGAGAGATAGAAGAAAACTCTGAGGGAGAGAGAGAGGGAGAAGGAGAGGGCAGAAAGAGACAGGCAGGGGCGGAGAAAGAGAAGGATGTGAGAGCAAAGAGATAGAGAGCAGAAGACACACACAACTACACACTACACACACACACACACACAGAAACGTGATGTGTGTGAGGGTGGAGAGAGAGAGAGAAGAGGAGAGGAGAGAGAGAGAGAGAGAGGAGAGAGAGAGGGGGAGAGAAGACGAGAGGGGCAGAGAGTAGAACAAAAAAAATAAAAAAAATAGACCGAGAGAGGGAGAGAGAATGCCAGACAGAGAGAGGGATAGAAAAAGAGAAGGAGAGGAGAGAGAGAGGAAGGGCGAGGGAGTAAAAGAGACAGAGGGAGAGGGAGAGAAGGAGGAGATGAGGGTTTAGAGAACGATAGAGAAGAGAGAGAGAGAGGAGAAGAGAGGAGAGGGAGAGAGAGAGCGAGAAGGAGAGAGAGGAGAGAGAGAGAGAGAAGCGTGGAAAGTTGGGAGAGAGAGAGGAAAGTGACGGACGAACGAGGAGGAGAGAGAGAGGAGATGTGAGAAAGAGAGGAGGAGGAGGAAAGAGATACGACGACCGAGAAGCAGAGAAGAATAGAGAGAGAGAGAGGAAGAGATCGATAAAGTGAGAAAGAGGATGTAGAAAAAACCCGTCAAATAATAAACGAAATGCGCGTTACGTATGCGACGCTCTTCGCACGGACGAAAAGTCGTGAAGGGTCCAGATTAAAATTTCTAGGACATGTAGATTATAATATTATGCAAAATATAATATATGTATATATGTTTATGCGAGATTCTTTTCACGTAGCCCGATCACAGAGTTTTCGAACGAGGCGAGAGGAGGGGTGGAAAACGGAAGGAAAATGATTGCGTACAGCCTTCTCAACGGGAGTGTGTCCACACGAGCACGCCTTCAATGCGTGTGAGAAACACGATATATATATGTATATAATAATTATTTATTAATATATGTATATATTATATGTAATTATATATATATAGTATATATATATATATATATATATATATATTACAAATATATTATAAATAAAAGGGGGGAGAGAAAGAGACAGACAGACAGAGAGAAAGAGAGAGAGGAGAGAGAGACGAGAGAAGAGAGAGAAGAGTAGAAGAGACGAGAGAGAAGGAGAGTAACAGAGAGGCGGGGGCGGAAGAGAGAGAGATATAGGAGAGAGAAAGAGAAAGTGAGGAGAGGAGAGGAGAGAAGAGAGAGAGAGAGGCGAGAGAGAGGAGAAGAGGAGAGAGAGCTGAAGAGAGAAGAGAGGAGGAGAGAGAAGAGAGAGAGAGGGAGAGAGAGAGAGGAGAGACGAGGAGAGCAAGAGAGGAGATCGAGAGAGAGAGAGAGAGAGAAAGAGAGAGAGAGAGGAGATCAGAGAGCGAGAAGAGAGAGAGACGGAGCGGAGAAAGACAGGAGAGAGAGAGAGAGAGGAGGAGAGCGAGCGAAGAGAGAGAGAGAGCATCGAGAGGGACGACGAGAAGACCAGAGAGAGAGAGAGAGAGAGAGAGAGCGAGAGAGAGAGAGAAAGAGTAGAGAGAGAGAGACGAGAAGGCCAGCGAGAAAGACGAGGAGAGAGAGGAAAAGAAAGAGAGAGAGAGAGAGAGAGAGAGGAGGAGAGAGAGAGAGAGAGGGGGGGGGTGTAGCCATTTTATTCCTGATAATAACGAATAACAGGCACAGCAAGGCAGTCAACAGAATTGTCGCGCGCGTCGCGTAAACAATTTAGTACGTACATGCAAATTCAATTTAGCTAACCTCATTACGCAAAAACGCAGCCACCGTTCCACCATTATGATAAATTTCGAGGTTTTTACGCTCGGCGTAATATCATTTTCATATTTTAAATTTAATGCGGGCCGTTAATCGGATTTTGGCATTACGTCGTTGTCTCCGTGTGGATTACTCGATGCGAGCACATAACCGCAGGCGTAACATCTGCGCACTCTCTCCTTACGGACGTGTTAACGTCTGTGTCTCTCACGTGTTATCTACATCTAAGAACACCGCCATCGCCATTGCCGCCGCCGCCGCCGACGCCGCCGCCGCCGCCGCCGCCGCCATCATCATCACCGCCATCACAATCGCCACCACCACCGCCACCACCATCATCATCATCATCATCACCACCACCACCACCACCATCATCATCATCACCATCACCCGCTACTGCCATGACCATCATCATCATCACCACCACCACCACCACCACTATCACCACCACCACCGCCACCGCCACCGCCACCGCCACCGCCACTGCCACCGCCGCCGCCACCGCCACCGCCACCACCACCACCACCACCACCACAAGCAGCAGCAGCAGCACCACTACACTATGTTTTCCCTGTGATTCTATTGCAAGTGCACTTAATAATAAGAATGAATAGGATAAAACCTGAGATTTTTTAATGGAATATTTGTCATTATCATTTTGCATCAATGCGCTTCTGAACCTTTAGATTACCATTTTTTGACTCATGTCTGGCCAAGGAATACTAATCTGATTATCAGACCTTTACTATAGATATAATATTTTTTGACGAAATTATGACGATATATATAAGGCCGGATTCTGTCAATCCGCACCTGGGAATCCTGTCAATGAACATTTTCGTTTAATGGGTACTGATTGGCACGGCACAATATATATTTACTGTATATTATCAGGAGTGAATAATAGAGTCTCTATTATTCACCCCTGATATTATGTATGTATATAGGCTGTATACTAATCAACGTAAATTCTGGTCCGGTTTGACCAGTTTTTGGCCAAATCCAGTTTTTCATAGGTAGTATTCAGATGATTAATATATGGCATCAGTTATGGTAAGGTGTGTGCGCAGCGGCGTGCGGGCGGTGACATTTGATTAGGTATGTTTGCAGATCAGTATTTGAATGACGATAACGTTAGACGATAATTTATTAGTATAGGCCTATATATATATATAAATAAATAAATAAATAAATAAATAAATACATAAATATATATATATTATTGAAATGGCCCAAGTGCCTGCAGTGATGTTGTATTGCGGACGGACATGATCCACGCGTTCTTATAAGTACGTCTGATCGTCACATGCACACGGAAGCCGCACAACCACTTAAGCACTCCCTCCACTCTCCTCGTTCTCGCCCTCTCTCCGACGAAATCTCTATCTCTCTCTCTCTCTCTCTCTTTCTCTCTCTCTCTCTCTCTCTCTCTATTATATTTCTATGGTCTGGCTAGTTGGCTGACGGGCTGACTATCTGACCGTCTGTCTATCTGGCAGGATGGATGACCGTATGTCTGCCTGGCTGGCTGTCTGTCTGGCTATCCGCTTTTCCGTCCGTCCGTCCGTCCGTCCGTTCGCCCGTCTATCTCTCTTCTTCTCTTCATCTCTTCCCAATTATCTCTGCCCTTTTGTCCCCATGTTTACGTTTCTTTTGCAATTAATTTCTGCAATAGGAAGTACAAATTGGAGCAACAGCTGGCAGATATGTCGTGGAAGGTCGTGTGGGCCGACATAGACTCTACAGGCGTACAGCCTCACGGACACACCAGAGAAAAACATTTTTCGTTTTCCGTTTCCGATTTGTTTCTTTTAACAAAATATACGAATAACTCTCACCACATCAAATGCGAAAGGAAAGTATTCTTACTCGAAGTTTCTTGTATCATCAATGTGCAGCATATGGCGACGTATTTGTTAATAGACATATTTATGGCGCCCAACACAGTCCCGTACCCAAGCGGGGTTGCAGGGGTTCCGGAACCCTCAACTATCAAAAAATAAAAATAATTGTGTTATTGATATTTTTTTTTGTTTGTCTTGTAGGCCTATTTTATAGTTGGGCTAGGTATATTTTATCCAAAAGAAAACTGTTAAAATGCACCAAAATGCACAATTTTTAAGCAAATTTTCAAAAATTTCCCGAGGGATCATGCCCTCGGACCCCCTCACATCGCTTCGCGCTTTGGCACTGGCAGTCACCCGCACACCTCTGATTTGCCTGCACACCTTTTGCGTTATTATCTTATAAATATCTAATAGTCAGTTAGTATAGTAAAAGTACATCAAAGCACATGGGTATGAAGTTTTTTTGCGCTGGTGATAGAAATTTAACGCAATGATTCGGCCGTAGTATCAGCATGAAGTCTATCGGCAATATGTCATCCCTGGTATGGCACTTGTGTTAGATTTTGACGTATATATTGCGATATTTAATAACCTACACACATTGCCGCGCACACAAATACTCACACACATGCACGCACACACACCCACACACACACACACACACACACACACACACACACACACTCACACATACACACACACACACACACACACACACACACACACACACACACACACAC